GTGTAGGTAGGTACACAGAGGCCAGAGGAAGACACTGGGCATCTTGCTCTATCATTAGCTGCCTTTTTCCCTTGAGACAACATCTCTACTGAACCTGAAAATAGCCCCAGTGGGCCTCCTGTCTGCCCTCCCCAAAGCACGGGGCTCATAGGCAGGTGTGGCCTTTCCATGTGGGTGCTGGAGAGTCAAACTCAGGTCCTGTTTGCACAGAGGTACTCTTACCCACTCAGCCGCTTCCCCAGAGCCACCAACCCCACACGCACCTTTTTTTTTTGAGACAGGGTCTCACTGTGTAGTCCAGGCTGGCCTTGAGCTCACCAGGGATCTTCCTGCTGCGGCCTCCCGAGTGCTGGGATTGAAGGTGCGCCTCACCGCACACCACCCTTGCTCCATTTTGGTGAGGCAGGGTCTCCTGTATCCCAGGCTGGCCTCAAAGTTCTCTGTGTAGCTTGGACTGACTTTGAGCTCCTGATTCCCCTGTCTCTACCTTCAGAGTGCTGGGATCACAAGTGTGTGTCACCATACCCTGCCCTAAAGGTTTTTATTTATTTTTATTTTATGTATATGCGTGTATTGCCTGCATGTAGGTAAGTGCACTCATGTCGTGCAATGCCCGCAGAGGACAGAAGAGGCCGTCGGATCCCCTGGAACTGGAGTTACGGACAGTTGTTAGCTGCCATGTGGGATTCGAACCCAGGTCTTCTGCAAGAACAGTCGGTGTTCTTTACCGCTGAGCCATCTCTCTAGCCCACTAAAGGTTTGTTTTTACAGGTTACCTGTGATCTCAGTGTTCTGCACTTGATAATATTTTTTTCTCTGCCTTATTCTGTTTTCTGTTAGAACAACTGAGCTAGGTTGAGATGAGGCTGTGCCCTACGCTAACTGCTTTTGAGTCACTGCCATGGTCTAGACTGTATGAGACAGTGGCTTTCAGGCGGGATGGCTCCGTTTGGAGTGCAGATACGACACAGGATGACTCAGCATCTCCTTGTGCACCAAACCAGCAGCACCCACAAGGCACTCCGTTTGGAGTGCAGATACGACACAGGATGACTCAGCATCTCCTTGTGCACCAAACCAGCAGCACCCACAAGGCACTGACAGGTGCTATCTACAAACCTAACCATGTAGATCAGGAACACATGGCACATAGGTATCTTAGAACCATATTAGGAAAAACAGGCCTGCCAGGTATGTTTTAATCCCAGCACTTGGGAGGCAGAAGCAGGCGGATCTCTGTGAGATTGAGGCCAGCCTGGTCTACATGGCAACTTCTAGACCAGCTGGGGCTACCCTGTCTCAAAAAGACCCAAAAAGGGGCTGGAGAGATGGCTCAGTGGTTAAGAGCACTGGCTACTCTTGCAGAGGACCTGGGTTCGATTCCCAGCACCCACATGGCAGTTAACAGCTGTCTGTAACTCCAGTTCCAGGAGATCCAACAGCCTCTTTTGACCTTCAAGGGCATTGCATGACATAGGTGCACTTACATACATGCAGGCAATACATTCATACTCATAAAGTAATAAATACAATAAATATTTTTTTAAAAAACCAAAAAAGAAAAACAAAACAGGCCCAAGAACTTACCAAACAGCCCAGGCCAATGATGAATGTGACACTCTCACGGGATCCCATAAAAGGTCATGGCAACAGCCCAGTACCTGCAGAGGCAGGAAGAAGTGTTAGATCCCCTAGAAGCGGAGTTACAGGCTGTTGTGAGCTGCCATATGTGGGTGGAGAACGAGAAAGGGTAATTCAAATTTCTTTTTGTCATGTTTAAGTAATTCCCTCAATTTAAGACTTCTCTCTTATTACAATGCGATTAAAAAAAAAAATAACATGGGCTCCTTGATGAATTTGTGTGTCCTTGTACAGGGGCCATGCTAATCTCTGCATCACTCCAATTTTAGTATTTGTGTTGCTGAAGTAGGCAGTTATAAAGTGATTGTTATTTAGCTATTTTGAGTTTTTTTTTGTTTTGGTTTTTTTTTTTTTTTTTTTTTTTTTTTTTTTTTTTGCTTTTTGAGACAGGGTCTCCCTGTAGCCCCAGCTGCCCTGGAACTCACTATGTAGACCAGGCTGGCCTTGAACTCACAGAGATCCATCTGCCTCTGCCTCCTGAGTGCTGGGATTAAAGCTGTGTGGCACCACGCCCACCTGCTATTTTGGTTTTTATGTAATCCTCTTTGCTAGATTATTTTCCCTACTGTTTGCTTGGAAAATTTTTTCTAATTCATTTCTCATAATACATATGACTTCAATATTCAATTTGAATAATTGGGAGTTCATTTTGGTTTTTAGTAAATATTAAGGCCATGATTTCATTTTCTTAATAGTCAATACCTTATCATTTTTGGTAATTTTTCTACTTGCATATTTTAAAAGTATTTTTGTCTCTATATTTTAAAAGTTATTTGCTCTGGTACATGAACTTTTCATCTTTATTTTAGACTAAAGAAAGTTATTACTGACCTTGACATAATAATGGAACCCACAGAGTATTCAAAATTGAGTGAATTTGTGTCTAGGTAAGCTGACTTACAAATTTATTATTTTGTGGTTGATTTTTGCTCTACAGGCTTTAAATTGTTCTTCACAATTTTCTCTTTTTTACTATACTTTTGGGGGGCTGCTTTATTTTGTTTTATTTTATTATTATTATTTTTTTGGTCATTTTGAGACAGGGTCTCCCTGTAGCCCCAGCTGTCCTGGAACTCACTATGTAGACCAGGCTGGCCTTGAACTCACAGAGATCTGCCTGCCTCTGCCTCCTGAGTGCTGGGATTAAAGGCGTGCACCACCATGCCCAGCTGAAGTTTTTATTTTTAAGATTGTCTTACTGTTGTATCCCTGGCTGGCCTGAAACTGGCTATGTAGACCAGGCTGGCCTTGAAATCACAGAGATCTGCCTGCCTCTGCCTCCCAAGTGCTGGGACTACAGGTGTGCGCCACCACACCTGGCAAGCATCACTTTCTTAAAGAAGACCAGCTCTTCCTCACCCAGCAGTGATCGGCTGCCAGTAGTTTCTCTGCTAAGGTTGCAGTCTCTTGTCTGTTTCCCCAGTTCTGTGCTGGGTTTTCGTTTGGTTTGAGTTTGCATGGATCTCGTGCATACTGTCACCATTGCTCTTAAGGTCATATGAGCTAGTTCCCAGAAGCCTGAAAATCTGTTTCCTTGTGGTTATTAACCACCCCTGGCTCTTACAGTCTTTCTACCCCCTCTTCTGAAATGGTGCCTGAGCCTGGTTGGGTTAGGAACATGAACCCTGCAGTCTCTTATTTTCTTCACTTTGACTAGTTGTGGTCTTCTATGTTAATCCCCCTCTGTTGCATAAGGAAGCTTCACTGGTTAGAGTTGAGAGGTGCACTAGTGGTCTCTCTACCCCTGTTCCACTGTGTTCCATGAGCCTTAGGTGTAGAGGTTCCACTGTAGATGTGTCACTTAGGGCAGGGCATCTCACAGACATTTAACCCTGTCCTTGTGGAGGCATGCCAGGGGCTCTAGTGTTAAAACTGACAAGGAATTTCATCAGATGTGGTGGCTGGGATTCTCTCTTGACTGGGTTAGCAGGATTCTTGCTATGGCTGAGTTAGGCCCAAGGCAAAAGAGGCAAAGGTCAAGGCCAGGTGGAAGAGAGTGTTGGAAGTGTCTGGCTATGGTTTGGCGAGGGGGAGACCCTTGTCCAGTGGCTGGCTGGCTTTCACAGCAGCTCGTCACTCTGCCATCCAAACTGTGAGACCACATGCCTATTCTTTCATGTTCCTATGTTTTTAACATGAGTCGAATGACTTTATATGCTGTTGTATGAACTTTCCCGGAGAGGACAGAGTATCAATGACAGACCAAAGGAAAGATTCCACCCAAGTCCAGCTTATCAAACCAAGGAGTATATTAGGCATACTTAGAGGAGCATGGGCGGCCCCCAGATGGCCACATCACCAAAAAGTCTCCCCCTAGTATGGGTGACAGCGTCCCCATACTATTCCAGTTAACTAGCCTCAACCAGCACCTCCCAAGAGTACATACGGTTGGTGGGGTGTCGTAGGAAGGAGAGTGGCCAGAATCTCAGGTGAAGGTCTAATGACCCTCCCAAATGTCCAGTGATATTGAGAGTCTCCTGTGGGTAATAACTGCTCTTACAATGGGAGTGGCAGTTACGCTTGGAGGACAGTGCGCCGCAGCATAGGTATACAAACGTTTATCTCTTTTTTAAATTGGTCAAGGTAGTATGGATTATTCTGTGAGTATGTATGCATGTAAGCGAGAATGGATGTACATGAGTGTGCAGTTGCATGTGAGTATGGTGTCCATAGGACAACCACAGGTGTCATTACATGTGCCACCACGCTTTTTCTATGTGGTGTGACTTCAGATTCTTGTTCTTTCAAGGCAAGCACTTTATAGACTTAAGTTTTCTTGAAGCATAATAATGAAGTGAGCACCCATGAAGCAGTCCCTCAGCCTGTCCCCCACACTGCCCACTGGTCCTGTTTCTGCAGCTCCCCTCCTGCCCGCCTCACGGCATGACAGAGCTATGTGTCCGTTTATGTTTGTGCTTGTTGCATTTAGCAGCGCACGTGTGTGTGTGTGTGTGTGTGTGTGTGTGTGTCTGCCAAACCCCCCACCCCAAGCTCCAGTAATGCAGTTATTTTATTGTGAGCTTTGTAAACTTCTGCATGTTTTGGGACTTGGGTGTTGTACTGTGTGAAGGGATTTAGTCAACCATTTTAAAGCCAAATTATCTCAAACCCCTTTATTAGCCAAGCAGTATATAAGTGCTCACAAGAGTACATAAGTGACAGCAGCCCACGTCAATACCTGGATGCTTTGACTACAGGCATGGCATGCTACCCTTAGGTAGTAGTTCCACATTTAATCAACAGGTCAGCTAAGGAGGGCAGCATCAGCCTCATCTGGGGGTGTGGTGGTGCTGGGGGGGGTGTTGTCTAGGTGATTGGAAGAGCTCTGCCCGTTTGTTATAGGACCAAACGGATCCACCCACAACGGGACCTGGGAGGATGGCTGGCCCAGACGTGTATAACTTCAGACGTGTGGATGGGAAGAAGCTCTGTGGTCAGAAAGGGCAGATGTTGGAGACCACGGGACAAGAAGACAGCTGACTTCTCTCCCTGGAGCTTTCTATACAGGGAGAGGCATACTGTAGTCCATCTGCTGAGGTAGCCAGGACACAGTGCACTGGATCACTCACAGGAGCACTGAGGACAGTGATTGTGTGCTGGTGAGCCCTGGCTCAGAGGCTGTGGTGTCCAGATGGTGGTAGAGGCCCTGTGGCCACTCCCTCCACCTAACACAGGCCTAAGCTACCCTTGTTGCCCCCACTGCTGAATGGGGAGGGGGGTGGGGGATAGGTGGG